GCTGCTGTATTCTCCTCATCCTGCTTCCTATTAATCTTCCCAATCCCATCCACCTTTATTGGTTCCTTAGGGCCTGCTCATGGTGTTCCATTATTATACTAACTCTTCTTACTATCACCCAGTCACGGCTCTAGTTTTGAGGTGGCCCTCAGCAAAGCGCCTTCAGGTGGGTGCCCAGTCTGGGAGACATCCATTTTGGAAAAACTTGAGTGTGAGGTTATGCTGGAAAAACACAGTAAAATTGAATAGTGAGGGAGTGAGAATCAAGAACTATTTTCTGAGTAAGCTGGTTCCCCTATAGTTAATTTCCCTATAGTTAATTCCCCTATCGTTAAAAATAATAGTTAATTTTTATATTGTTCACGACATTTCACAACAGAACTGTTCACAATACATTGTCCTCACTACAGAAATACACACACACACACACACCATAAAACCCCAGGTAAGTTCCTATATATAGATAAAGCCCAGAACATGTGTGTGCGTGTGTGCACAGGGCTCCCATTCACACAACAGCTTTTTCCACATAGTTTGCCATCATAGATAGCTTAGGCAAGGGGTTCTCAACCTTTTTATGGCCCAGTGGACATGGATAGAAATCTAAGAAACTAGATTGGGGACCACCAATTTCACAGTAGAAAAACTGTTAATGCTCAGAACCACCCCAAAAAAACAGGGCAAACACCTACAAACACACACACCAAAGAAACCCAACTAAAACACAGCAGGCAACACTTTGTCACCAACGTCGAAAGACCATGTTGAGTGCCAAAGGGTTAATGCCATGGTACCCTCTGGGGACCCCAGGGTTAGATTGAGAAACTAATTACTGGTGCAAAGTGGGTCAGTGAGACTCTTGGTAGAACGAGGGGTTGAACTCGGGTCTCTCATGTTTGTATGTGTATTCATTTCCATATCTTCACATGACATAACAAAATGGAAAAAAGGTCAAAACAAACAAGGAAAAACCATAACATATAGCCAGATTTAATGTACACTGTTTTAAAAATGGATGTCATTTTAAAAGATTTTATTTGCTGTTTACAAAGGAAGGTGCTCTTTTCTTCTACCAGTTGCTAAAAATATCCTAATCAGTTTTGGCCTTTGAAAGCATCAGGGGTTGGGGGAATAAAATCATAACACAATCACCGCTACTAAAAAGGGATTGTGATTATGGAAGAGTTTTGCATTTAGAACTCGTTAAGCTGACACAGTGTTGAGTGGCAGTCAGGTCACTATCAGTGTCTTTGGAGAGCTGCGCCAAAAATACCCTCTCACTTTCATAGGCCCAGGTGCAGGTCACTAAAGGAGGGGCAGGGAAAGCATTTTCTGTATTTTTCAGAGGGGGCAGGAGGAAACAATGAAATTTTCAGAAAGGTGAAGTACTTCACTTGAAAAGCGACAACAGAGGTTTCCCCTCCTTCCTTCCTTCCTTCCTTTTTTTTCCTTTTGCTTTTCTTTTTTGCTGTAGCAGAGTTTGCAGCACTGTTTCCCACAATACTTACTCAGAATGGAAGTATGACCGAATGCCATTTTGGTACATTGTTTTGGGGGAGCAGATGCTTCCCCTTCAACACCACTCCAGGAATGACACCACATTGCAACACAGGGGTTTATTTATGTAATTAGCTCTTCATTCATTGCCATAAAAAGGTTACAATTTAAAACAAATATGTCATGCAGTACTCAAGGACAGATAGTTTTGACCAGCCAGCTAAAATAAACATGAAGACCAGACCCTCAACGTGATCCCGTTTTCCAGGGACTGTCCCTGATTTGATATTTTTCTGCCTCCAAAAAGTACTTTCCCACTCCACCAATACCAATTCACCTCTCACGACTCCCCTCAAAGGTCCACGGAGAAAAGCTTTTGAGGAATACTTTGGCTCAATCTCCACTTTCCCTTATTCTCCTTTGCTTTATCTGGTTCGTATATGTTCTTTATTTGTGTGTCTGTAATTATTAAAACATTGGTTATAACAATATCCACTTACATTAACCATATTGAATGCTCTGCCCTCATAGCTCATGCCTCGCCCTCCTCTAGAAGTTTGTGGTCAGAATACATTGCTTTTCCGTCTCTCTCTCTCTCTGCTCAAATTCTGGGGATAAAGCTTGGGGACCATTAATGAAATCCCCAAGGCCCACCGCTGATTCAGCCAAATCTTCTGCCTCATGTGCCTGTGGCTATATATGCTAGTAGGCTGAAATGTACAGAACTGCTTCTGAAGCCCTCCTTGCTTCAGAACCAGTTGAATGGGCCTTGAATGGGCTTCTCTTCAGCCAGAAGAATGACCATAGACCAACACTCTTCTTCTAACTGGTACCTTGTATTTATAATGTAAGAAGACCCCTGCTGGATCCAGCCAATGGCCCAGCACCCTGTTCTCACGGTGGTCAACCAGCTGTCTATGGGAAACCCTCAAACAGAACGTGAACGCAAGAACACTCTCCCCTCCTGTGGTTTCCAGCAGCTGGTATTCAGAACCATGCTGCCTATGACAGTAAATGCAGACCATAGAAAACTTTGATAACCTCATTCTCCTCTTTGCCTATTCCTATTTTAAAGGCATCCATGTTGGTGGCTATTATGGTGCATTGTGGAGTGAATTCCATAGTTTAATTATGCACTTCATGGAGGGGTACTTCATGCTAGAACATGCCTGCATACTTTGTTCCCCACCAAGCTGAACACAGCTGACCAGCTATGTCAATGCATCGGAGACTCTGTAAACCTTCTGTTTTTGATGCTTGATTGTAGGTACAAAGAGGGGGGGGGCTGCCATGCACCCAGCAGGCCACATAATATATTGTTCATGGGCTGCATTTAGCTTGGCAGGTCACAAGTTGTGCAAGCCTGATTAGAATCAGTGCAGCATACTACATTCTGATTTCAATTGTCAGGATGAAGTTCTGAAAGTACTAGGATGATGAACCCAGTATCCATTTCTGCATAATTTGCTCACATGCTGTATGCTGGTCTTAATAGGTGTGCCATGTTAAAGATTGGCCTTGCTGAAGCAAAATGCTTCTCCTCCCTTTCCCTTCATTTCTGCGAATTTCCTGAATGCAGACTGCAGACTGCCAGGGCATTGAATGCAGGAGGTTACCATGGGAGTGGCTTATTGCATAAAAGGGGTGGGGAGAGGCATGGACATGGGGGCAAAGGTGGAAACAGGGCTGCAGAATGGAGCTGCAGAATACAAGAAAGATATGGTTTCAGGTAAGGGGTTGGGAAGGTGAAAAGCAAGCTTAGTACTTGTATCGGGTAGTTAGGGGAAGTTTGAGGGAGTTAATGTGGGGGGAATTGCAAGGGGGTTGGTAGGCAGAGCAAGCAGGCGTGCAGTCCCCAGTAAACCTATATTTCCTTTCTCTCTACAGTGGTACCTCGGGTTAAGTACTTAATTCGTTCTGGAGGTCCGTTTTTAACCTGAAACTGTTCTTAACCTGAAGCACCACTTTAGCTAATGGGGCCTCCCGCTGCTGCTGCATCACCGGAGCACGATTTATGTTCTCATCCTGAAGCAAAGTACTTAACCTGAGGTACTATTTCTGGGTTAGCGGAGTCTGTAACCTGAAGCGTATGTAACCCGAGGTACTTCAATAGTACATTTCTTTTTGTCATCTCTGAAGAATCTGAACGTTTCGTGATGGAAAACAAAGCCTGTAGTTTAATAATCTCACAGACGCTTTATTGTACATTATGTATAACTTTGATTTCACAGTAATATTTTATAGATGTAGAGAACATGTCAATCTCTGACCACAAAAACCCCCAGCAAGTACATTTATTGAATTAACTTCACAGGTATTATAGAAAATGTGTGTTTCGGAGTTATAGCTGATAGATTGTTATTAAAAGAAATACATGGATTTATCTGCCAAATGTTAACATAGCAATTAAATGATCAAATCATTTTTACATTATGTGTGGGGGGTTTTTCAAATGCCACAGGCTTTACCTGTGACTGAACTATACTCATGGTTACATAATAAGAAAAATATTCATTTATTAAGTACAGTATTTAAATGTTTACAAAATTGCTTAATAGCTAACACAGCAACAACATTGGGTGGATTTCTGCTTTATATCACTCTGTTCGTCCAAAGAACAAAAGTAGTCTCAGTTTAACCTTCATGTCCAGATTTATTCCATCAAAGAAAACTAGATTTTGTAAGACTTTTCATCTCAAGACCAAGAAAAGCAGTAGTGGCTGGTGGGATGGAGCCAACCTTTCAGTTCCAGAACTGCTGAAGCCTACCTGGATGGGCCTGGGGCAGGGCAGGTTATAAGAAGAGCCTTCTGGGTGAGGCCAGTGGCCCATCTGGTCCAGCATCCTGTTTTCACAGTGGCCAACTGACAAACAGGACCTGAACACAAGAGCGTTCTCTCTCTCTTTCTTTCTCTCTCTCTCTCTCTCTCTCTCTCTCCCTCCCTCCCTCCCCCTCCCCCGCCCAGCACCTGGTATCTAGAAGCATTACTGCCTCTGGCCATGGAGACAGCGCATAGCTGTCACTGCTTCCACCAATCCACAGGGAGCTCACCTGTTAAGATTAGGCAATTTATGGTTTGGGTGGCATCCTGCAAGGTGGCTAATCTAAAACAGAAGAAGAATTTCTGATATCCTTGTGGTACACCAGACAGTGAAGATGGTCGGGGGAAGGCTAAGCCTAAACCAAGCAGGGCCAGGGCCTGAAGCCGGTTTGGTGCTGTTTCTTTTCCTAGGAAGGTCTAGGCTAAGGCCACTTGTTCCTTTCGCAGAGTTGTTCCAAGTCATGTTGGTGCGTGAGGCAGAAATCCTAGTGGTAAATATTGAATAATAAACGAAAGAACACTGGTAGCTAACTTACCTTTAACCATATGCCCAAACTGGCCCCCTGGGTGTGCTGCCTCAGCCTGCCACATGACATGCCTGCCATTTTTGTGGGGCTCTGTGGGATCATCAAGGCTGTTGGATGCCCGGTTCTCACTTTATCTGTGTCTTTCCTTAATGCAGGTACATTCAAGGCGCCTCATCCCCAAAGGACATGGTGATCATCGTGGATGTGTGAGTGTCTTTCCTCAAAATCAGCCACTTTCAGTGGCATTTGTACCTGCTCAGTCCAAAGGCCACGATTTATCCTATAATTCTATGTCTTACTGTAAAGTCTGCTACACTTCAAAGACATGTGGGGGTTGTCGTGGGGCCCAGCTCAGAAACCAGGGAAGGGTTCTTCAAAATGGGAGGGCAGTGGATTTTAATTGTTTTGAAATGTTTCCCCCTGTTGTCATAAAGTGGCGGCATGAGCTGTTTCTTCCTTTTATTGACAGGAGTGGCAGCGTTAGTGGCCTGACACTGAAACTGATGAAGACGTCAGTCCATGACATGCTCAACACTCTCTCAGATGACGACTATGTCAATGTGGCTTCAGTGAGTGTCTTATTTGTGGTTGGCAGAACAAGAGGCAGGTGGTGGAGGTAGAATGAAAGATGTAGGACATGAAAGTGGTGAAGGCTTATGTGGCTTCATGGCACCTAATATCCCCCCTGGATATCAGTGGTGATGCTCTATGCTCCCAGTTGTTTCAGTTCCTGTCAGTAGTCTTTAGGATAAGGATGAAAAATTAGGAAGAAACAATTACTATTTTTGAAAGGAAAATGCATATAAAGTAAGAGCCTTTGCAGATCTGCATCCTGTGATCCAAGACTGGTTTTCATGATGTAGAATCTATTATATTTAGGAACAAAATTCCAGTCTGTACCCTCACTTGAGGATAGCTTAGACCTGTAAAAATCAGATTCAGCACCTAATTCAGTCCTTGGGGACTTTGTTGTGTGCACACTCTATTAGTTATGTCTCGTAGTATATATTGTTGTTTAGGAAAGAGATAAATCGAGTGGCACTAATTATATTGTAGCCTTTCTTTCTTGCTAACCAGCACACCATAATTGTTATGCAGATAGATCTGCGGTATAGACAACTAACCTCAGTGCTCCTCTGTGCTATGAGACAGTGGATTGCTGCACTACTAAATAACTGTAACGGAGATGAGAGCTGTGTGTACAAGTCTATAAGGTATCGTTACATGGTAATTTCTATGTACCATAGTTTAAGTGCCCTCTAATTGCAGTCTTATTTCCTCACTGCAAAAGAACCGAGTGTGGCAGTAAAGATGCATGGGTCCGTTGTCGTTGTGAAGGTGCTACATGATAATCAGTGAGTAAGTTGCTTTGCCATTGCTACAGGACACCATTATGCCAAATAATTGGCATGGGGGTGTCAGGACACATGTAACTGAGTGAGAGAGGCTGGCGTAGGTATCAACTCACTCTCTCCTTCTCTTCTTCTTACTTAGAAAGAGACAGAAGGGTCTACTTCTGCCACATCCTTGGCATGTTGTCCATGTGTCATCTTCCATCTCCTTTAGTGATCAGGACTAGGTTCAAAGTTGTCCAACACTTCTTGATATCCTTATGGCCACAAGGCAATATGCATATCTGTCCTGAGGGCTGGAGGGTATTGTCCAGTGACATTCTAATTTGATTGCCAAATCTATTGAAAGATTGACTATGGCTGCCTGGCCTGCAGACTTGCACTTTAGTATTGCCTTAGGGAACTATCAGGTAGACATTCTGTCCCAGATCTTTAGCCCAGCGATTCATAGAACTCAACTACATTGCCATGTAAGGAAGACAGCTTTTGAGCTATTTTGGACTGAGGAATGTTTGCTACCACATCCTGTCAAGATAGTTGGTCCAATTAAATGTATAATCAGAACCTTTTTGTTATATTTTCCTTGCTTCCCTGATCTGATAGAAACCAGGGCATAATATGAACCTAATCCAAGCATTCTTAAAACATTTGATAGAACTAAAACAAAAGTTCTACATAGAAATAATCTAATGCACAGAGTAATATTATATTATTATTGTCAGGGCCGCCTCAGGTCCCAGCTCACAAGAGACCAATGCCAAGCCACTTTATTTACAAAAGTCTTTATTGAAGTACATTGGTTGCTCCACAGCCGAGGCACGCAGCCCACGTCTGTTACGCTTAGACCGCTGAAGTCCCCTCTGAATCAGTCCCGCCTCTACACCAGTTTAAGAGGCTGTGCTGGTCCACCTCTTCCTGTCCTTCCTTTCCGCAGGGTCTTTCTGCCCCCCTGGGTTTCTCCCTTCCTTGATTCCCCTGACGCTGAATCCCCAGACAACTGCTCCCCCCTCCTTCGTGCTTTGGGACCAGGCTCCTCCTCCGGGCTTTCTGCATTTCCGCGCGCCTCCACATTTGAACTTGGCGCGCATTCGCTACCTCTGACCTTCCTCTTGACAGTTACACTACTCTCTGTACTACTCTCCGCCCCTTCCGGCAGGACGTCATGCCCCGATCTCCTTCCCCTCTCTGCTTCCTGCTCTGCTTCGTCTGTCACACTGGGAACTCCACCCTCTTCACTCCGTTCCGGCGGGGAAGCCGGCCCCGATCTCCAACTCCCACTCGGGGTTCCCCTGCTGCTCCCCTGCTCCTGACGAGTCCCCCCTGTAACTCCCCTTGGCCTGACCACGGGCGCCCCCTTTTGGGAATCCTCCGATTCACTTGAAATACTCATGGAAACCCTCAAGTCATTGTCATCCTCTTCCTCCTCGTTCCGGGATTCTCCCCCCTCGCTTTCAATCTCCTCCCTCATCTGTGCCTCTCTCCCTGAACCCCTGACATTATTATTATTATTATTATTATTATTATTATTATTATTATCATCGTCGTCATCGTCGTCATCATCATCATCCTATAAGTGGCTGAGAATCTACTGCTTTTCCTAGACAGAGTGTTTCATTAATTAATTTTCCTTTGTATTAATAATGAGCACCGTTTTGAATAATCTGAATATGCATGGTACTTGCTCAAGACTTTTTAAAGCCAGTTTCATCATGGGCAAGTGTGATGGTGCTGGGCAAGGGGCAGGTAAGAGTGGAATGACAGCCACTCAGGAGTGAAGAAAGTGTATCACCAGTAAGTGAAGTGCATAATGAGCAAAGCTGTTCTCCAGGGTTTATATGGAGTTTTCAATCCATGTTCTTGCACTTACCAGCCTCCAGGAGTTAAACAACAGGTTCTCTAGGAAATGAGTTCTGAAAGCATCTCAAAACAAAATGCCACATCAGCCCTGTGAAAACAAGTGTGCTCTTTATTCTGCTGTATTTATTGCTTTGTATAATGGGAAAGAAGAGGGAAACGCCCGTCAGAGGCGTTGGCCTCTGCCTCATGCAGCTCCTGCAGCCCAATTTACCATTTCTGTCACCTTTCCTTTTCCTGCACTCCCGACTGCTCTGTGCCTTTGATCGATTGCAAATGACAAAACACACCTGCAAGAAATAAATTACATCCTTCCACTGCCATTTCCCCCATGCCAGCTTTGATGGACTATTCTGTTTGCATGAGGTGTTTATTGTGGGGGGCAGGTTGGTGGTGAGGGGAAGGAAAGCTTTGGCAAAGAGGCATACAGCCGCAGAAGACCAGTTAACTTTGGAGACCATGTTTCTCAGTGGGCCTGAGCTGTAGCAAGCTTAGACTAAACACAGGTAAGAGTCTTTGGGGTTTTTAAGCATGCAAGATGATGCATGAAATAGGCATCATTAGCAGAGCTGGGCTCCTTTCAGAGTGATATATTTTTAGGTACAAGTAATGATATTGCAATATAGTCCTTCAGTATATTAGTATATTTAAGCAATCCAGAGTAGTCAGTGAACATGTGGGTTGTTGTGGGGGTTTTTTGCTGTACAGCTAATAAAGCATATTCTGTTCAGTGTCTTAAGGAATAGCACCAAAATTCACACTTCCTTCCATGGACTTAAATGCCTCAAGAAATCCACACAGGTTTCTATTCTCTCAGCTTTGCCTTGATGGATACACTTGCCCATGATATATACCAGGTTCAATGATACAAGGAGAATCACTGTTGTGCATAGTGGATAGAGAATTTGTCTAGGCCAGCTGGGCTAAGCCATGAAGTAGAACCCTGAAGGATCAGACCAAAGGCTTATCGAGTCCAGAAGCCTGTTACCACAGTGGCCAACCAAATGCCTATGGCAAGCCTGCGAGCAGGACATAAGCACAAAACCACTCTCTCCCCTTGTGATTCCCAAGGAATCTTCTGGTGAATACAGCCCCTTATCTGGCAGCCTCACTCTACCCAACCATATTTCCATCCCTCACCTAAGATTGAGGCCATATGGGTGAGGCGTTTACACACCCATAAGGCAGTCTGTTTCCATTATCCTTCCCAGGCCAGGAAAATGGAGGCAAAGTTCAGTCTTCCCTATCTGCTCTGCCGAAGTGGCATAGAGAGGTAATACTATAATCAGCTGTCAAATTGCATCACATCAACTGCTCAAATGCTTCCAGAATAAAACCTCAAACCTCAGGGGGACAGATAGAAGGAGCACAAGGCCTGCTGCACGCATGAGTGAAAAGTCTTGAGGCAGGCTGGGCAGAAGGGTCAGGGACATTAAGCACAGAGAGGCTTGAGCATTATTCATAATGTGTCTTGGGGAGGATAGAAACATAGGAAACTGCCTTGTGTCCAGGTTAAGGCCATTGGTCCACCCAGCTCAGTATTGTCTACATTGACTGTCAATGGCTCTCTAGGGCTTCAGATGGGAGTCTTTCCCAGCTCTACCAGAAGATGCCAGGAACTGAACCAGTGACTTTTTGCATTCAAAGCATGTGCTCTACCTCCGAAGTTTGCCATTTCCCTTCTGAAGGTGTATACCTGGTCTAGAAGTGAGGCATACTCCATCTTTCCGCCAAAAGTCTTCTAGACAGCTTGCATGGAAAACTAAAACAATTCAAGAACAAAATACAAACCAAGGCAAGCCTAGAATCAACAATAGAAATGGCATTAGCATTAATAATGGGTAAACATACCACAAACTGCCAAAGAGTGTACAGAAGCTTATCTCTTATGTGGTTAAGCACCACAGCGCTGAAACTGGATAGAAGCTTCTGTCCTATCTTAGCGCTGTGAAATTTAGAACTAAGATTGGAGCTAAGCGATTGCATATCTTTGATCTTGGGCATTAGTGCTTACTCAGGAGATAACCAGATCCCTGTGGCATTATAGAACATCAGGTGACTGACAGGTGGTTGTGGTTTGCTGAAAATGGCTTCAGGACAAATTCAGGGACCTGGTGGGCCTAATTAGACCCATTGGCCACAGAAGTTCCCTACTACTGTTTTAAGAGTTTTAAAGCTGCCAGCTTTCCCAGCAGCTCCATTGATTGCATCACAAGCTGAGCTCTGACTGTCATCATACTTCCTTCCCAGGTGCCCCCCCCATCAAATGCACCATGGGGAAGGAAGCATTTTGGCAGCCAGAATCCCACTCTTTTTGTTTCCCCAAAGCCACAGGCAGAGCCAGCAGCTTTAAACCATTAAAT